TTACCAAACTGACCAATAACACCGGTCACTTCAACTGTCACCGATAACAGTTGTTCGCATTGAAAATCCAGGTTAAACAAGATCAACGAAGACGTCGATCTCGTAAAGTCCCCCCAGGAACAAATTTCTGGACTCTCCCCTGGCGAAACTTTCTTAATCCCTAAAGTTGGCGAGCAAGCTTCGCGAACGCTTCTCTGAGAAACTTCGTTTCGGCTTATAAGAGGCCGAGACAAGAACACCTTAACGTCACATAAATTCATAGCCGTTCACACCCAAACGGAAAATCGCCGAGGCTCGGTGAGCGAACGACGTTTGGAATCACGCTCCTTCGGGACCCCACGAACAGGAACACGTGCAGTCGCACGGCAATAACTCTAAAATTTGATTGCGCCAGCCATCGGGGTAGTCCACCCCCCTAAGGCAACGATGGTAATAGGCGCTCAACCCTTGCATCAACACCCACGCAACCCACACGCGTCGGACCTGGTCCGCGGCACCACCACGTCGTAAATAAAGCGAAAATTGTTGACTGGTGCCTTTCGGCTCGGTTTAAACGTTAAACAAAGGCCCACGGTGATGTCGGCCGCCGTATCTTTGATCTCTGTTTGCCGAGGCATGCATCACAACGCCAGATTATCGGGAATAATTATTTGTTAGATAAATATGATCCCAGCCGGCGATAGGAGCTCGAATTTATGATGGACCACTTGCCACACGCTGTGGATTCTGAGATATACCAAGTTCTAATACAGGAACGCGGCTAAGTATCTCTGCTCCAGGCCAACTGGCAAATGGTTATTATCGGTAGGATAGATTTTTGTTTGCTACCAAAGTAGTCTCGAGTCATTCGTTCTTCGGAAATACTAGAATTAATTCAATAAGCCAATGATTTATTACCGTTTCAATCCACTGCTAATATTTTCAACGAATGTTTCTGCCACGGTGCCCCTTTCCTGCCTTGTCACGGTCCTGATTATGCGCGTGTTCGATTTCGAATATTAGCGTTCACCAGAGGGCTAAGGAGGCCCGCGAGCCTCGGTATTGTTTATGGGAGCGCGAGCGATGACGATTTGAAATTCTAATTAATCTGCGCCCTGTTAATGATCGTTCCGGTAGGGTTTGAACGGGCGCAGCTGAACACGAGGATCGAGGTTCCATGGAGAGATGCTTTATTTGTTTTTAACGCATCTTCGTCGGGCGAAATTTTATGCAAGTTGCTACGTGTAGCAATCCACAGTTAAAATTCACTCATCGAAGAAGGTTATCTTGCGCGGCCCGTCTTTAGAATCGCTGATGTATCGCAGAGGCAAAATTGCTGGACCCAATCAGGTCCGTTGTGCGTTGCTGCGTCGAGCGTTCACTTTGTGATTTGTGTGGCTTTTATTGGGTTTGTGGAAGGTACACGAAAGTTAGATATAGATCTGACGGTTTATTTTGTGGGAATTTTTTCGCCTTTTGATTAGTATACAGTCAGTCCCATAGATAATCGTACTCTCTATGTCGATTGAAGAAGTTTGGCTAAATTAAATAATAGTTTTGATATTACCAAATTAATTTTCCATTATATGTATGTGTATGAATAAGCTTATAGGTGTATATATATGTATATATGTATATATGTTATATATGTAGGAAATAATAAGGTATATTAGTATACCTCGTTCTCTAAATAATGAGGGTACGAATATTTATGGAACTGATTGTATTTTCGTTTCTTAAATGCCATTTCTATCAAACATTATCTGTCTTGCCATATTGTTGAATCTCACAATGATAACAATAATAAATGCTTCTATAGTTTGTTAAAGTTAAGAACTCTTCTCAAAAGTCGCTCGCCCTTCATCAAGAATCGCGAATATGAATCGCGAATATAAATTGCTTAAACTTGGTCGAACGTCGATACCGCAAAAGGACGTGCAAATAAAACAAAACGCATAGTACAACTCAAGCACGGTGTCTCGTGGCCGTCAACCTTTCTCAGCACCACGTCTCGTCTCCTCGATCAAACTTTCAAGCTCCTCTCCGTTTCTCGTATTCATAAAGGGAGAAACGGCCTCGTCAGGGCAAATTGATTTCGTTGGATCTGACGATACAGCCTTCCCCGAGAGCGATTCACGCTATCGGTAACCTTGCAAAAAGGTCCCCGGTAATATCCACACAGGCTCGCCTCAAATGTTCTCCCCATCTGCACTACTAAATCTCACTTTGGCCCATCACCTGTCCCGCGCATAACATTCACCTCGACAGATTCAATTACATCCGACATAACGAATCCGAAGTATCGCTGTACTAGCAGCTCCGTGCCAAAGTGGCAATCTGTTTCCATCCCCGTGGTCGCGCTTAACTCTCTGCAAACAACACGCCTCGGACTGTACGAAGAAAAAACGAAAAACAATACATCACTTTCCGGCGTTCTCTGCGGTTCAAAAAACAATCCACACGCAAATCGTCGAACTTTCACGCGTACGTCCCGGGCCCGGTGCACACCGTATCGTACATCAACGTCCCGCAGAAGGTGGGCGGACGTCGCGTCAGTCGCTGACGCCCCGCGAAATTGAATCTAAGGAGTCCAAAGGGCCCTGGCGTTCCTTCTTTCCTCCCTGCAGCCACGTTCGCTGCAGGGAGGTCGCAAATCATCACCTCGCTACGTTTACAACGTTAGATAGCCCAAGATTACGGTCGTTCGGTTTTCAAGCCTGAGAAGAGACGAGGAATTCCATTCTACCTTCTCGGCTCCCTCTCCACCCTTGACGGTTCCCCGTGACCGTTGTAACGCCTTTCGCCAAACCGTGTTGCCTTCGCAGACGTCTCCGAAACAATGCATTCGCCAGCCCGACTTCCTCGGGAACGCCGGTAATTCATTCGCTGCCGAGGACTAATGAGCTCGTGATTACAGGAACCAAAAGGGAGGTACCTCTCGCGTTGTTCTCCGTCCGTCTTCCCGATCCCCGATTCGAATGCATATTATCTCGCGAATACGCCCACCCACCTGTGTCGCGGAATCTGAGATTTCATTTGGCCGAGTGGGTATTGTTTCGCTCGGCCAGTTGGGGCCTTGATTGAGTGCTTAACTGCGACAGGGGTCGGGCTGGTGATCATTGAAACGCTTCGCCATTAATGTAGAAACTGTTCCCTCGGTGTGGGTAATCTTGAGCTTATATTCCCAAGGAGTAGAGAAGCTCGTGTGAGTACTAATCCATTGACACGTGGGTCGCCGTGTCAGGTAGAAATGGGTGACTGAAATATGGGTACTTTTCAGTAATCGAATTAAAGATATTAATTCCAAGCGTGAGACGATGACGAAAATAGTGGTTTGTCTGGAAAGTTTATGTCGAATTTTGGCGCAAAAATGAAAAAGTAATTCAATAAATGTACAGTTAGTATAATAAGCATTCGTACAGGAAGCATTTATTTTAAATTGGTTGCTGTACGAATTCTTACACTGATTGTACACCAAAATTCAAATGTGTCCCTGAATTTTCCTTAAAATGTCCCTTTTCTGGACGATCCAATAAATTTCAACAGGATTTGTGAATTTAATAAGTTCAAAATTTAAATACCACGATAAATATGAAATTATCTAGTCTTCTTGAGAGACGAAATTCGAGATGAAATTTGAACTTTGAGAAATGTTCACGAGTTTTAGTCCAGCAGTCAACGTGTTAATTCATTAATTATTTACCCTGGTCCTCGCACGAGGAATCTCTACCTTTTTATGCCCCGAAGGATTTGTGTCCCAAGCGAAATTCCTTTGGAACGCGTCCTTTTGGGTACCCTTCCGCGTGACCAAGGACCCGCACTTACAGTTTCTCGCGCTCCTTAATCCGTTGCTCCGTTTTTACATTCTCGACGAAATCCCCGCGACTCTGTGCCTGTTTATTACGCTCCCCCGTCCAAATGATGTCATTAGATATACTTAGGCGGGACTTTATTGGCGACTCCCGTGAAACGAATTCGTGAGCCGTTCGTCGGTTGTCGAACCGAATTTCATTTTTCGAAGCTGGCCGTCTTTTTATCGTCATCCTCGACGACGACCGTTTCGCGGAAGCTTTATTTCCATGCGAGACTCCTCGTAACCCGCGGGGCACACTTTTATGATAATCTTCCCCGCGATTGCTTCGCTTGCGTGAACTTTCCCAGAGGTGAAAGATCGGATTGACCCGTTTTCGCACGGAACGTCTTCCCAGGAGCCGTTATCGCGAAACGCTGGCGCGATCGTTGGTTTATCACTGTCAGATACGGTGACTGTGAATTTTAACGTCAAATAATAATAATAATGACGAGTGAAACGCGGGTTATTGATCATATGTTAGAGACCACTCCTTGGAGGATGTAATGCACGCTCGGAGCGTGCGAGGCTTCTTAGAATGCGATCCATTGTTTCGATTTTAAAGAAAATATTTTTTCATTCTGGAAAGTATAGGTACGAGTTGCTTAAAGTGGTGAAAGTCTAGTTGTTTCTGTTCCGATATATGGGAGTATTCGAAGCTTCGAAATCTACGTCTAGTATCAATGAATAGAAAGGTAAACTGTGGCTAAACTTTGATCGACTGTATCCTTTCATGGATCTATTGTCGAATGTTGAAACAAAAATTTAAAAAAATTAATGTGGCCCATGAGGGGATCGAACCCGCGACCTTCGCGTTATTAGCACGACGCTCTGACCAACTGAGCTAATGGGCCGATGATGACAGCTTCCTGTTTTAAATATTTCAGCCAGAATGTATATTATATGCACACTGTATTAATCTCAAATAACATTTATGAGCGATGTATACATAGACGAGTCTGCTACTGTAGAGTATGATTCTAGTGACTAATTTAGACAAACTTTTTTAATAAACATGGAGGGTTATTTACGAAACCGACTGCATTTACAAGAGTGCACGAAATTTGAACATCAAACGATCGATCGTTGAAAATGGAGGTCTAGCGTGACCATTCGAAAGAAAATTTTATTTTTTGATCAAAATTTACAAGTGTCAATATAATCAGACAAGATGCCTCCCGCACAGCCAGTTGATATGCTAAACAACACGCTCCAAGAAATCGTCTTCAGAACGAAGAACGCTGAAAAGTTCAAACGACTGGCACGCAACACTCATTTCAACGTCAGAGAAGTTGAAGGTTATATCTTTATACTGCGAACTTTTAGCGGATATTAAGTCGACTCGTTTTCTATAGCGCTGGCGATAATTCATCGGAAATGCGTACAAACTTTTGGACCTATAAGCAGATCCATACTTCGTGATATCTTCCAACCAGGCCTAGACTTAACGGAGAATATTCGCCATTTATTGATCGACAGAGTATTCACTGCGTTCGATAAACGTCACGCTTTGCAGGTAACGGAATGTTCGAAAGGAAGTTGCTTATTGGTAAATAATTAATACGGAGCAACGATCGTAGGTACACCTTGATGATTGGATCGAAGGACTTTCGGTATTAATTCGTGGGAGCATGGATGAGCAGATACACTTCGCTTATCAAGTGAATTATGATTTTCTCGCGAACTTTCAATTCTTTTAATGAAATTACAATTTTATTTCATTATTCTGACTGAAATTTTGCATGAACGTGACTTCGATATTATATGGAACCGATATGATTGAAATTTCGAATTCTCAGGTGTACGATAACATGAAGACCAACACATTAAAGAAGGAGCATATATTTCTAATAATGCACGGTTGTCTAATCAAACTGCAAAATAATGAAAACCCCGACGAAGCAGTTAAGGTATAACGTGTAGAATTACAATGGTATACTTCAATAAAAATCACGTGTGTTGCAGGATATGATAGATTTGCTGATTAAGAAACTCGACGTGGACCGCGACGGGAGCATTTCCGAAGAGGATTTCAAAATTGCTGTGAAAGACAGAAATTCACTCCTGCTGGAGTGCATGGGTCCCGTGTTCCCTTCCAGAGAAGCTCGCAACGTCTTTTTAACCACCTTCACGGATCGTCTGGGAAGATACTAACAGATACTAATCGAGAAATTATTTCGATCGAACCGCATTGTTTCGCCAGGAATTTTTGCCAAGGGCGATGGCACGTCGAATCCTGCCAAAGGCAGCCCTTATTGAAAAGCCAAGAGCGTGTTCTCGCCAGTAGGGGAGGAAAATGTGCCAAATCAGACAGAAGAGATCCGTCTAGGTAAGTGAACGCTCCACTAAGTTTTCCAAGTTGAACCTGAGGTGCATTCCTTACAACTCATCGAACTACGAAGATTGACTTGCTCCCTCTTACAAACAATCGCTAATGGACCGCAATAATACCATCTCCTAATCGCATCAGATCCAATCCGTGACGCAATCGTTGAAAGAGACGCGATCAGCTGCTCAATTGGGTTCCCTGTGTGCAAATTGCGTTTTCCCGACGACCACGTTGCCTCATATTTATTCGGGTTGCTGGGTCTCGAGTGCCCTCACAGAGGATTAGATAATTTACCAAATTGGACTTTTCAAACTCACGTTAAAGAATTCTCCATCGATTCGCGTTTCAACGATTTCATCAGTTCTCAAAACGATCTACGATAATTTAGAATCCTCTGCTATAGAATGACGTCAAAAGTATGTTATTATACTTCAGTAATTTTTGAATGTGTAGTACTTATTCTTGTATTCTAAGGTATAATCTCCAAAATATTGCATGAAATTTTAATCAATTTCAAGTCAAAACTATCAATATCGAACTTCTAAAGTACTTGAAGCTACTCGTATTCAAATCTACAATCTGCTAAATATTGGATCAAATTTCAATCATATTGAAGCCAAGACTATCTATATTAAATTTCTAAACTGCTGACGTTACTCGTATTCTAATCTACAATTTGGAAAATATTCCATTAAATTTCAATCAAATCGAAGCCGAGACTATCAATACTAAACTCTTAAACTACCGAAGCTATTCTAATCTACAATCTGCAAAATATTCCATTAAATTTCAATCAAATCGAAGCCGAGACTATCAATACTAAACTCTTAAACTACCGAAGCTATTCTAATCTACAATCTGCAAATTATTCCAGCAAATTTCAATCGAATCGAAGCCAAGACTACATCTTTCTACCAACGCAGGTATTTTTAACAATAACACAAAACGATGAAAGAGTTCCACGAGCCATACAATATTGCTACAATACTAATTATCCCGAACGCTCCATCCCAAAGCCGTTCTCGGGTTTGGTACACTCGGCACACAATGGCTGCCGAGCCATCCCCGTCTTCCCTCGATTAATAGAGACGGTTAACTGGATACGTGGGACGAGTGCGGATCTTGCCGCGAGTGCAGAGCAAACACGGGAACCGCGGAAAAGCCGCAATTCCGCTCGCGGGAGCCGAAACGCTTGTGACAGGGCTGGCTGCGTAGGTGGTGGACGTGTTACGAGAAAACATAATGAATGTTTGAGGATCGGTACGGTCGAACGAATGGCCCGATCCGCGTCTCAAGCAGCTATAACAACAAATTAAACGAGAAAATCTCGAGGCTTTCGTCGAAACGTCCACCCTGCCTTCAAGCCTCGACTCACAATGCGTGGGCGTACACATATATATATTCGTATAACACCATATAACACCAACACGCCGATCTCGCAGACCCGAGTCCTTCTTTTTTTTCACCTTCTTCTTCCCTCTCGTTCCAAAGGGAGAAGGTGGAACGATATTCTGTAAAGAGTATAATAACGTGCGTATGAAAGGGCAGATCCTTTGTGGGTAGCCGACCGTGTCTTGAAAGGATCCACCAGGATCTGCCGTGGCATGGAAGACGAGGGAAGGAGGATCGTCGAGATCGAGAGTTAGGGCACCAGCTGAGAAAACATGCCCGTGGCGTGTCGACAGCGAAATGTTCGTATTTGTGTCTGCGACCGTGGATGCGGTACATGTCGGGGGAAGAAAAGATAGTGGTAGTCCAGGATGTTCGTAAATTCGTTAGGTCGCGCATGGAAAGTTGCACCTTACCGCTGTTAGGGCACCGGGGAGGGGTAACTTGCTTCACGAAGTCTATCAGAATAGGTATAATTGAATCGTCGGGTCGCTAGTGATCAATTGAGATTCGATGTAACACGTTGGGCGTCTTAATTTTGTGTCTCGAGATTGTTGAAGGTTTAATAGTTTAACATTTGTCGTAGAATTTAATTTTAATTCACAGATCCTATCCAAATTTATTTTCATTGTCACCTCACCTTTGGAATTAATTTTTTTTATTTCCTTTACTCCTTGACCTACACGTAGGAAGACCGAACGAAGTACCACGAGTTAGATTCGTGCTTATTGTTTATGGCTCAAATTTCTTAACACGAGTCTCACTCGTCGTTGTAGGCCAAAGGGTTAATGAAAAGTCCTCTCACCCATTTCTCGACTATCGATTCCTCGTTTTCTAGTCTCGAATATTTAAGCATCGCCTTCTGTCATGCTTACCGTGTTAATTCATCCCTGAACTAGAAAATCCCTTCGAGTACCTGGCCAACGACCAGCTCTCGGCGGACCATGGTTCAAATTCAATTCCAGCCTCCTCTAAATAACACGTTTTGCTCGGGCCGCAGGCCACGGGGTCACGTGTCGCGCAAACCAAGGAGCAGGACATTTCGCTCCTCATTCTCCCTCGCCTTTCGTCTTTTCTATCGCTCCCCCTTGCACGCGACGTGCACATGTACGCGTGAATGCGATCTACGCATTGGATTTCACGTGAATCGCGACCCTCCATGAATTACCAGCTGGATTTATCGCCCGAGAAAAAGACTCGCACGGGTATTCACGTAATCCTTTGGCGTGGACCACGATGCCGGCCCCTTTGATGCGTAGGCGTGGGCCACGCAAATCGAATCGGTCGCCGTCTCATCACGTTCCGTCGGGAATCACAACCATTCCGCGTAATCGAGCCTGATTATAATTTATGCTTTTGTGGCTGATCTCGAATTTCCGTCGAAGCTCTCGTTCGGACGAGTCTCCACTTCATGGGCGCAATTTTCTTTGTGCAGGTTTAGTTTCTTAAAATTATCTATTGTTTTCAGTAGAAGGATATCGAGGTGCTTGGGTAGGATGCTGGAAGTCTCAAGCTCAAGGAAATAATTTTCTTGGACGGGAACATTCAATTTTGCCAAGAATTATTTGTACAGAATTGATACACATGTTTCTAGCTAGAATCTGTAGAA